ATGGGGGGGGGGGGGGGGATGAACTTTTTGTGATTCTAAATGAAAACCGAAACGTTTACTTATGACTAGTTTTCAAAAAATGTTGATTTGTCATAAAAGGGTTTGATGGGAAGTTTGATGGTTTTGATAATTACTGCGTGGGTTTTAGAAACTGTGGAATTGATTATTTCTGATGCTGATACTAATATGTTTGGTTGTTGATAGGTTGGAGTGGTCATTTTGTATCGAAGAGAAGGTATCATTTTATAATCCCGATGGACAACGGGTGGCATAAACCCTTAGATGAAGGTGCTATAGACAAGCAGAGTCACCTATTGCATGGCGTGATTCATTGTAATGGTTATGGCCATTTGCTCTGTGTCAATGGCATTGAAGGAGGTTCCAAGGTTCTAAGTGGGAGAGAGGTCATGGATCTCTGGGACCGGATATGCACCAATCTCCGAGCACGGTAAAGAAAATCACAACTCAATATTCATCTTCATTCTTATTAGGAGTTAGGTTAATGTCTTGAACGTTCACGACTCGATGTTTATGTGGATATTGTCTTTGAATGGCAGGAAAATTGCAGTGGAAGATGTTTCATGTAAGAGGTCTATGGATCTTCGCTTACTCCATGGAGTTGCCTATGGACACTCTTGGTTTGGTAGGTGGGGTTATAGATTTTGCCGTGGAAGCTTTGGTGTGACAGAGCAAGACTACGACGAAGCAATGACAATGCTTGGTTCATTGGAGCTTGACATGATTGTGAAAGAATTGAGAAAGACAAAGTACAACAAAGAAATCAAACAAATGATTCGGTGCTACAGAGATATGAGTGAGACTCATATTATCTCGCTCAGGGATCTTCTCAGGTTTATGCTAATTGTCAAGTCTCCTCGTGCTCCTGTGTCTAAGATAACAGTCACTTATTCTGCTGCTGCTGCTGATGATTCTTGTTCTTCAGCAATCATCTTAAGAAATTCCACCAAACACCAACTTCCAAGCAGATCAAGTTCCATGAAGGATAAATCAGTGAGGTATAGGAAGTTCAGCAGTGCGGTGTCTAACATGGATAGCAGGTGGCCCACAAGGAGACTAGAGTTTGCAGCTCAAGTGATTGTGGATGCGCTGAAAGATAACATGGCTGTGAGACCAGGCTCAAGTGGGATGGCAAGGCAAGATGTGAGAGACGCAGCTAGGCTTCACATTGGTGACACAGGCTTACTTGATTATGTACTTAAATCACTCAACAATGTGATTGTTGGAAACTACGTTGTTCGCCGCATGGTGAATCCATCAACTAGAATCCTAGAGTACACCATTCATGATCTTGGCAAGGGGCATAAGTGCAAAGCCCCTGAACTGGAGCATGAGCTGATGACTTATGTAGATCAACAAGAAGAGTCATCTTGGGTGCCTGGTAATGATGTTTACTGTGATGTATTGTTTCTGTATAAGAATGTGCTATTGGGTTATCCAGATTCAGAAGCAGTGGACTTGGCAATTCAGACCATTCTAGACTGCAGGTACTTCGTGAAAGAGTGGCCAATGAGGGGTGAAATGGAGGAGCAGGTATTGACATTCATTTGCCGCCTGCAACCAAATTTTGTGGACATGAAATATGAGTTGAAAAGCGTACCATGTGGAGAGGTTGTGGTGGTTTCACTTCATGCAACTGTTGGGGACTTGAAGAGAGCTGCTGAGGCTGCGCTGAGGGACACTTACTGCATTGCAGAAAGGCTTATAGTGACAGACATTAAAGAATTGATGGGAGTGAGTGATGAGGAAGTGCTTTTTGGACTAATCCAATCTGGTGTGGAACTTTGTGTGAGGGGAATTGCAGTAGACTTGTGCACCCCATTGAAGTATCAGGGTGGATCTGATAGCTGGAAGGTGAGATGTGAGTGTGGAGCTCAAGATGATGATGGGGAAAGAATGGTGGCTTGTGACATTTGTGAGGTGTGGCAGCATACACGCTGTTGTGGCATAGATGACTCTGAGACAGTGCCACCACTGTTTGTCTGCACTGGTTGCTGTGATTCACTTGTACCCTCCAGGATTGAATCAGCCTTTTGTTCGGATTCTGATGATTCTTTTCTGATTTCAACAGACCCTACCCTTTTACTAGAATATGAATATGGATACTAAATTCTTGAATACAATACTGTTGTAACATAGGTTGCCTAGAATTAGAATATACTTGTTTCTGTTCTCAGTTCATATCTTTTGGTCTTCATTTTTTCCACACCTCTTTTTTGTTAATGATGTGTGTTAACGTCCCTTTTGAGACGTTTGGTTTTATGTAGGTGATTTGAAAGAACAGTTCTCTCATTGGTGATTTGATACTTCCAATTCAGTAGTGAAGGAAAAACAATAAGAAAGTGTAAGCAATTAGTACTTCATTAAATATTCGATTTTATAGTGGATTCTGATAATGGATTTATTAATAATAATACTGATCAATTCTCATAAAAGAAAATACTGCTCGATTTTTCGAATTCTCTAAATTATTCAATGATATCAATTGCTGATATGAATTTCTTGAATAGCTAATGAAATGATGCGGTTTATGCTATGAATTAGGAACTATCCTCTCTTGATGTGGCTACATGGAAAGTTGCTCCTGCACTGGCTTATAGTCAAACCAGTGATTTCAAATGTCTTGGGTTAATCAGCTGGTTGTCTATGGTTATAAGTATGTAATCGTGAATATACTTCTAATTATAATAATATTCCATTATAACAGATATATTCTGTTATCCTATACACAAAATGTGACATTCAGGTGAAAATACTGTAGAGTTTGATATAAACATACCATATGATGGGAAATAGAACCACCAAAAGACGTCGGATATTTAGCTCTAATCGACAACCACTATGGGAACTTCACCCTTTCCTACACATTAAGTAAAAATTATCGCATTCCTATGCCTCCAATCGACCACATAATTGCAAATCACACTATTTCGTAAATTCAAGTTCTCTTTCCATTTACCCAACCAAACCTCTAAAATATATATATATATATA